GTGTGTGTGTGTGTGTGTGTGTGTGTAAAAACAAAACAAAAACAGAAATGAAGAACAGGTATGAAAACGAACAAAAGCGTTTGACTTGTTTGTGGAAGGATCAGCCTTTATTTTAAAAAAATTGTTCCTGCATCCGATCCGAACATTGGGGATTGCCTTGTTAGTGAGACAACTTCCTGGGGCCTTCAGCATATTGTGGTAGGGTGGCCAGTTCCTTTCCACGCCGCCTTTACTTCTCCTACTCGAATTCAGGTACCCATTATAACTGCTGGGTGGGCAGGAGGGGGCGAAAAAATATGTGTCCGAACCGAGACTCGAACCCGGACTTTCCGCTTTGGAGATGAGCGCATTATAATAACCGCTCTGCCACAGCACCCTCGAACTTATATAATTGAAGGTATTTAATTTTTCTCTCGTGCTGTTAACAAATAAAAATAAAGGCTTTATAAAGTCATTCAGAGAAAGAATTTTTCGAAATAACGATTCTAAGTCTTGTAATCCTAGTCCCTCATCATCATGAGGTGCCAGATCTGCCTCAGACATCGGCGATCATGGTTCTCCATTTACTCCTTTGTTCAGACGCTCTAAAAAAAGTTGCATTACCCTGATCTTTCCCCGTATATTATACATATCTATTTAGACTCTCCGATCATGGGGTTGCTCTGTCTACCCCTGCCTCGTTTGCCTTGAGTTTTGCCAGTGAGGACTATAAATGTTCGAGGCATTTCTGTCAATTTAGGTGTCCCAGAGAACTGCATTAATATTTTGGTAGTTTCCTGATTATTTTTATCAGCGCACGGCCCTCGTGGGCTTCATCAAGAACGACCTGATTTGATTTCTTTTCCTTCCATGGTATTCAGCAGTCTCCCAAGAAACCGAATTTCTGTTTCTTTTATTTTTTTTTCACTGTCTTTAGTTAAGTGATGTCCAGCATTCGCAGCCATAAATAGAGAGGGCTGACCATACATAGCACTTCAGAACTTTCCTTTCGGTAGTCAAATGTTTCTATTTTTCAGGATTGGGCTCATTTTATCGAAACTATCCTTAGCTATTGTAATTCTTTGTTTTATTTCGGTGGACCACTTGGCATCAGATGTAATTATAGGCCTATACCCTTGATATTTAAACTGTGGAACTTTATTTTGTTTGATCTTTTCGCAAATTTAATAGGCTAACCAAAAAATCTTGAGAACGGAAACCGTTCGGAGAAATAAGAGTTCAAGTTTATTTTCCCGAGTGTTCGGAGAAATAGAACCGGCCATAAAATTTACCTCGACATTGAAGAGTTTCTCTCTCATTCATTCAAGATGTCGGGTGTTTACGATGTAAGTTTGTTAGGAATCGTGTGTTTACTTTGTCATTGTTATCACTACTGATGTGGAATGATGTAAAGTGTACCAGTCTTACAGAAGGTTCCAATTGTAACTTCCAGACAATTTCAACTCGTGATGTGCTAAAAGTAGATCTAGGACTCTGGCTTGGACGGATGGCTAGGAATTCAAACTAGTAGTGTGTGTTGTTGGTGTAGAAGTAGAGTAGTGTAGAGTAGAGTGTAGAGTAGATCTAGATTTCTAGATCTAGATCTAGATCTAGAATCTAGAGAGTGTGTAGCTGCACTGACTGGACTACTCAACTAAGACTAAGTTAGATTCTACTCTACAATTAGAGTAGGCTACCAGATCTAGATTCTAGATCTAGATTCTAGATTGAGTGTAACTGGGTACCAGAAACTACATTTTCAAAGTGAAAGTGGCTATTCTCACCCGCCCGGAAGTTCTCGCAAGATCAACTCCTCCCCTCTTCTCTCTCTCTCTGTCTCTTTCTGAATACTGTCTGTCGGTGTGGACGATCAAATTGACCAAAACAAAGTTAAAAAATGATGTTAAAACACAAACGTAAATTAATTTGGTTGTCTATAAAGATGCTACGGCTATTTTAACTTTTCAACTTTTCGAATCGAGCCGAACTACGCGGGTCGCCATTTTGTTTTGCCCGGAAATTCTCGCGCTACTCCTCTCTCTCTTTCTCTCTCTCTCTCTCTCCACTGCCGACAGACAAAATTGTACGCTTTTAGTAGGCTACAGTTGTAATGGAACGTTTTTTCAAGGCACAGAATTCTACAATTTTTCTGTTATCACAGTGTAGAATTCTGTGGTTTAGGGTGAACGCAAAATTTGGTGAACGCGCACCGGGTGAGAATAGCTACAAGACTCGCCTGCACTATTCTCACTCCGGGTGAGAATAGAGGTGGCCTTTCAAAGTAGATCTAGATCTAGATTCTAGATCTAGATTCTAGGTCTAGATCTAGATGACAAATGGCCGTCTTTGTCTGAATAAAATTTTTTCTTTTCTATTCGGACTCGAGTCCGAAAAAAAAAAAATTCATATTCGAAATCGAGTCCGAATATGAAAAAATGTTATTCGGACTCGGGTCCGGAAAAAAGGAAGTGTCTTTGTTCTATAGTAGATCTAAACGTAACGTTCAGTGCTTCCAATTTTCCGCCATTTTTTAGTTTCCCCCACACCTTTTCTGCCGATCAGATGTCCGCCGCCTCATTGATACGCGCCCCCACCCCCCATGTTTCCCTTTTTCTTTGTTGTAGAAAAAGGTAAAATTGAAGATTAGCAGACCACTTGGCACCTGCATATTATGAGCTGTGTAAAAAAAAAAGACCGATTCGTTCAAATACACAAGCCTGTGTCATCTTGATTGTTTACCAAGAAAAAGTTGTGTTGCTGTGTAGAGCTGAGCATACGGCAACTTTTGATTCCATAGACCAGAGCACAATTCATTACAAACGTAGTACGTCAAGACTAGCTTATTAAAATTGTAATAATGATCAGTTGCCGAGGGAAAAAAGACTGATGTGTGCATGCGACGTTCAACGCCCCGACCGATAGTGCCCCACCCCCCCTCCCCGACACGCACACATCCACACGTGTGCAGGCCGCCCATCCGACCCCGACACACGCTAACGAGCCATCTTTAATTGCTTCTGATGACCTCTTGACAAATAAACATTTATTAGAAGCGCCATAACTTTTCAGGCCGGCCTCAAATTCATCGTAAGATAAAAACTTGGCTCCTGCACAAAACGCCATTTTGCCCGAAGTGATCCAGGTCTCTACCCAGCCTGAGGTGAGCCACGAGCGAGGCAGGACAGGAAGCCGGAGTCACGAGTCACAGGAAGTCAGAAGTCGGAAGTGATGTCATGCTGAACAAGAATCAGAGTCCGAATAACATTTTTTCATATTCGGACTCGAGTCCGAATAGTGACTTCGATGACAAATAGGAGCCTAGATCTAGATTCTAGATTCTAGATTTTCAGTTTCTGGATCTAGATTCTATGTTTGTTCTGCAGGAGAGACAAAAGTAGCCTCTAGAGAGATCTAGATCTAGTGTAGACTAGAGCTGGGCGAAGAGTCGATTCCGGAACCGATTCCCACGATTAATGCTGCTACGGAAGAAAAGTTCGTTAGTTTTTGTACAGAAATCGACGCTGCTTAGAAACTTTAGTTTTTAAAATCCGCTTTTAAATCCAAAAAATTCAATAACGCACAGAGCAGCTGTACAACCCAAGGGAACGTAAAACAAGATAAAAGCTGGTTTCAAACTGCGGGTTATAGCTTTTATTTGGTACATAACACTCCTAGGTTTATGGGGTGGATGAAGATAGTACTTTATGTTGTAAATTCCAGTTTATTTCTTGAAATTGTACTCTTTCCGCACGGAGCGGTCAGATCTAGGGAATGAATGGCCCGTGGAAGTGGCGTAACGCGTCGAGATTCATTACCTTCCGCCAGGGGTCAGAGGGGTCAGACGGGCTACAATTAAGTGCGCCTCTCGGAGAGTGAAACTGTACAGCCCTGTACGATACGACCACAAAAAACAAAAAACAAAGACGGCGAGACCTAGTCAACAGTTACTGGCGAAGGAAACCCGAGAGTCTTTGGGGAAGCCCCGAAAGACGACAAAAATAGATGACGGAAAAACATCAATATTTGGGCCAATCACAGAGGTGTGTTAGTTAGATGCTCGCTGTAGCTTCATGTATTCCCAACACTTTTGCTATCTCTATAGAGAGCTCTGTGATTGGCCCAAATATAGATGACGTATTTCCGCCATCAATTTTTTTCGTTTTCCAGGGTTTCCCTTGTGAGTTGACAAATTACCCTTTACAACATGAAGCTGCAGCGAGCACCTAGCACCTGTGATTGGCCCAAATATAGACTAGATGATGTAGATATCTCCACTATCTATTTTTGTCGTTTTGTGGGGTTTCCCCCAAGACTTTTGGGTTGCCCTCGCCAGTAACGGTTGACTAGATTTCGCCATTTTTGTTTTTTTGGGGTATTAATCTTTTAAACAATCTCAGCAATTCTCGTTCCGTTAATTTACCTTCTCCTCAAAGTTGTACACACACACGCACACTCTAAGCGTGTGTGCACGCGCATGCACACACACATATGCACACACACACAGCCCAAGCAGTCTTAGATGAAACCTAGTGGCATAGCCCATCGCGTGCTGAGCGGCAAAGCGGGCGTGTCACAGTGAGATCTAGTCAACTGGCGAGGGAAGCCCCGGAAGACGACAAAAATAGATGGTGGAAATACGTCATTATATTTGGGCCAATAATAGAGGTGTGCTTGGTGCTCGCTGTAGCTTCATGTCCCTTTATTATTATATAATTATAAATGAGAATGCCAGTGACAAAGCTACGGAAAATATAAAGCAGCGTGTTACAAACCACCATTACCAAATTGTCTCTTATTTAATTCCGTTTATATTATAATTATTGATCTATTATCACAACATGTTTCAGGTATACTGATAAACTCTGATATAAATAGGGATGAGACAAAAAAAACCCATTGATTAAGTGTGATGTTATGACCCATTGAAGATGAAATGACAATGTTACAAGGTTGCAGATTAATGATTGAACAAAAAGAAGAGTCAATAGTACAAAAGTTTCCAAATTAAAGTTTCAATTATATATAAGAATTAAAGGGTGATAGATCTTGTCAACTCGCGAGGGAAACCCGGAAGAGGACAGAGAAGATGGCGGAAATACGACAATATGTCACCCATTTGGGCCAATCACAGAGGTGTACTAGGTGCTCTCTGTAGCTTCATATGTATTCCCAATTGGTTTAGTGAACGTCACTCGATCCTCTAGTGAACAGTCTTAGCGTCCAGTCAGATTACAGCATGCATGAAGTATTATTGTTAAAAATGCAATCTTTTCCTGAATCAGAATAGATTTGTTTTAACTCTGAAATGTTTGAGTTAGTTAGATAAATGGGAAGGACTACTTCCGTAATGAGCGACCACCCCAACTTATAAACAAAAATAAGTAGAAGAAGAGACACCTCCTAACCCTAACCCTAACCCTAATTCATACCCCCTACCCCAAACCCTATAAATCCTTTAGTATTGAAAGTCTACTTCACTATTTCATGGTAGCATAAATGAAGCCTATTTTTTTTAAGACTGAGATCATTGCAAAGCAGTAGGCTGTTTTATAGCCTCAAACATGATGATTTGTCATTATTTCAACCAAAAACAGTGAATGGCTGGTGTCGCATCAGACCCAGCGGTGAGCATTACAGCTTTATTGTTGTATTGAGTGCTCCCTATGTTAGGCGTTAGGGGTCATATTTTGTTTGATGGAAGGTTCGATGCAAAATAATCCCACGCTGATGACTGCATTCTATCAGAAACTGAACGGATCTTTCTATTGGTGCCTTTTTTAAGCCGTCGGTATTTTACATTTTCACGTAAAACTTAAAAAACTTTAATGTGATTTTAAAAGGCTTTCTATTTTAAACCCAAAGCCAAAAGGAAAAATATCACCGGAAACCCCTTTCAAAGAACAGTAGTAAGAGTCAACCAAGAGTAAAATAATAAAGGGGAGAGGATGCCAGAGGAGGTTGGGGGGGGGGGGGGGGCAGGGGGAAAGAAAGTGGAGATGAAAGCAGGTGACAGAACAAAACAGAGAACTAGAAAGGAGAACACTTTGAGAGAACTAAGAAAATTTTTGGTGACTGTCAGATTTCGAACCCGGGACCTGTTGACTGAGAGGCGAATGCTGTACCTCTAAACCACAAGAGCCCCCCCCCAGTATTTGTTATGAATTGCAGAGATTGATTATTTGCTTTAGAGACTCTAGAGCAAGCTGTTTTCATGGTTTCAATTGTTACTCTCATACTTTTTTGTTTTATTATTGACAGACCACGGTTCCTGACCACAGAAGAAAGTGGGATCGGGAGGAGTATGAAAAGCTTGCTCAGGAAAGGTTGAAAGAGCTTGAAGACAGCAGTGACAGCGAAGAAGAAATAAAGATTCCTGTCAAACGAGAGCTGTTAAAGCCCCGTGATTACAAGGTAAGCCATTGAGATTTAATGACTTTAGTTTAGCAGTTAAGTAGAAATCTAAAAGCTCATTCCCTTTGTGAAATTATGATTTTAACTATTTGTTCAAGAAATTAATTAAAATTTAATAATTTTTACAATTGATCCTACCATTTGTAACTGTTGATGATACCAGTACTGATATATGTCACTTTTTAAAGTTCTTATTTGGAGTCTTTGTTATCAGACATGATGTCATTTTTTAAATTTAAGCTATTCTCTTCGTATTGATTTGTTCTATAGTCTTTTGTAATTTCGTAAGTTTTTGCCAGTCTTTTTCGAGTAGCTGCTTTCAAGTTGTTTGTGAGGTTTTATTTACTTTATGGCCATCTGTTTGTGAAATTTCTAAAATCCACATCCCTTTACTAAATATAGGAACGATGATATATTTATATTAGTCCAGACATCAAAGAATAAATTCAAGTAATTATTATTATAATCACGGGGGTAATCATGGTAACCAAGCAAACGTCCGCCATATTTGATAATTTCATCAAATTTCAGAAGTTATATCTTCTCTCTTATTTTTAGTCCGTTGGCTTTCATTTTTAGCAAGTACAAATTACAACAATATTATGATTTTGAAAATAATTATGGACTCTGGAAATATGTACTATGGACAAATAGCATAAAACCTCGAATTTTCCAACAAAAACACTGAACTGAATGTAACTTTATTTTCTTACTATCTTCAAAAAGGCTCTTTTTCAGTAATGGTCACCTATGGACGCACATTGTGTAAAATAGTGAAGCCGTTCAGGTGAAAAATAATGGAGAAGACGTAATTTGAAGTCGGAAAAATAAATATTTGAAAAAAATGAAGAAAATATTTTAAAACAAGACCCAGAATTGCAAATTATTTTTTAAAACCCATTTTTACATGACTTCTAAATATAATTGATTGAGACAGGCACTTGAAAATTCGGGGGAAATGGATGTAGGTTTCAAAAATGGAGAAAAAAAATTGCATGGTCAAACGGTAAAAATGGGGGAAATTTTACCCTCAGATGGCCTTAACTTAAAACCCAATTACAGTATGATCTTCTGTGAGTAGTGATATCTAAATTCTTGCCAACTTTGATGGTTACGGTATAGGAATATTTCGTGTCTTTTGAGAATGATTATAACTTGTTTTTAAAATTTATTTATCTATTTGTGATCTAAAATCTTGAGATAAATCTGTTCAGTATTTTTTTGTTTTTGGTAAGTGTTTTACAGCACTCGCAACTGCATAAGGTCATATGAGCACGCAGGACACGTTAAACAATTTCAGTTGTTAGGAAATTTTGAATTTTGCCTGGTTGGTGGCCAAAGCCTACTCTCATCGATTTTATACCACCAAGGGATCTTTAACGTGCACAACTTGCACACGGGACCTTTGAGATTTTTCACCCTTGTCCAAAAAGGCTAGGTGTAGATCTTTCCCACTAGAAGATCAGGGGTGTGGCTGAAAGACAGCAGTAAGAAGGAGCCAAGGAGTAGCAGTAGAAAGGCTGTAGGAGAAAGAATCAGGAGCCCAGAGGAGGGGACAAAGGAGGTGAGGGGGTGGGGACAGATAGTGGAGATGAAAGCAGACGACAGAACTTTGCTAGAGAGCAGAAAATGAGGTGAAAGGAGACAATTTTAGAAAAGAAAATTTTTCTGTCGCTACCCAGATTTGAACGCAGGACCTTTGAATGAGAGGTGAAAATCTTAACCTCAAGGCCACGAGAACCCCCCCTTTGTGTATTAGCTCGATAACAATGAAAGTTCACACCGAGAAGAGCCTGTCTTCTCTTTGATCTACTCAAAGAGTTTCAATGAAATTATTATATCTCTAATTTTCAAATACATCTTTCCCCCCTTTCTTCCTCAGGTTGATTTAGACTCAAAACTCGGAAAATCTCAAGTCATTACAAAGACAACACCGGCAGCACAGCAAGGAGGGTATGTTGTTTCCTATTTTATCAAACTTGTGTGTTTGTAAATCCTTAAGCTGGTGTGTGGTTATAATTTGTAGTTATATTAATGCTTTTTTTGTCTGTTTTTTTTCATGTCTAGTTAGTGTTCATCTCACGATGTAAAATAAGAATCATAGGAATGAGAATCTTTCAATACACTGGTAAGTTATGAGACTGGAATAATTCACTGTCCTATGATGGTGTTCTGGTTTGTCAAGGAAGCTTCAGAGTTGAAGTAGTCTTTAGAGAGAGACACCTCTATTGTTAAATAATAGTGTGGTCATTGTAAGACTTCAAGACATACATATAAATTGACATATATGCAGTTGTCGTTTGTGGGGAGTTCTCTGACTGTTCTTATACAGTGGAACTCGGATTCAACGAGGTGGCCGTGCCTGACCTAAAATCTCGTTAAATCCGGGTGTTCGTTATAGCAAATATGAGGTTTTGTGTAGATAATTACAGGCACTGAGCAAGTAATGTATAAAGAGAAGTAACAAGTGGTGCCTGAAATGCCTGCATATTATGAGCTATGCAAAAAAAAGACAGATTCGTTCAAATGCACGCCTGTCATCTTGATTGTTTGCCAAAAAGTTGTGTTGCTGTATAGAGCCTAGCATTCGGCAACTTTTGATTCCATAGACCAGCGGACAAATCATTACGTAGATCTATGTCAAGACTGGCTTATCGTTGCAATAATGATCAGTTGCCGGAGGAAAAAAAGACTGACGCGTTTAGTTTGTATGTGCGACATTCCACGCCGGACCGATCCCCCCTCCCCCCCTCTGACATGCACACACAGACAGTCACGCGTGTGCCGGCTGCCCATCCAACACTGACACACTCCAGAGTAGACTCGTGTGCGTTCCAATAACACATGTATTGGTATGAAAGAAGGCCGCTGATTGGTGGCATGCAATCGGCTAAGTGAAGAATGGTTCACGATGCAAGTGCAATGGATCTTTTCCGGGAATAGATAAAGTTTGTTGTGGGAGAAAAATGAACGATGCCACATCTGCAGGGGCTGTTCACCCCGGAAGAGACCTCGTTGAATGCGAGCTTGCTAATTTAAGTGTTCGTTGAATCCGGGTTATTTTTTATTGATTTTAAAGAAGAAGAAAAAACGGGGAATCTATCTCTTTTAGTTGAATTCTCGTTGTATCCGAGTTCTAATGTAATACGCATATCAAATCTGGTCATATTTTCTGTTGGTATTTTTTTTTATAACCTATTGTTTTGTGAGTATGCTGTGTTTTGTTACAAAGTTTATAAATTATAAAAGTGACCAAGCTCATATTTGCCCCATATCTTTACAGGTACTATTGCAATGTCTGTGATTGCGTGGTTAAGGACTCGATCAACTTTTTGGATCACATCAATGGCAAAAAACGTAAGTCTCGCATTTCAAATGAATTGAGATATTTAGCTCTGGGTTGAGATGAATATATTTGAGGGAGTGTAATGGAATTAGGCGTTTGTCAGAATAATGAAATGGAAGCAATCGGCATTTGTTTGCTGGTTTGTCAATTTTTTTCAATTTGTTTATTTTTAGCTCAACACCTTTTACGTCCATTTAAAACACTTTTCTGTGTTGATTTTACTGAAAAACGTTGATTAAAGGCACAAAATATCTAAATTTTCAGTTTCCAAAGACTGTGAAGCAATGGAAATCAATTTTCTTGCTCTAAATTTACCTCTGAAATCAGGCGATCCCCGCCACCATAATTGCAAATGTCTCAGCTTCTATTCGAGATAAATACATATTTTTTCCACCAAAAGCAACACAAATGAACAATCTTAAAGATGACACGATAACTCCATATGACAAAAAATTTACCCAAAAATTCCTTATTCCACCACGTCGGCATCAAAGAAATATTTTTATGTAGAGCTAAATGCATAATTTTCAAAAGTTAGCACCACCTAAATTTTCAGACTTGAATGTTAATGCTTTTAAAATTGTCTTTCAATCCATTGCTTGCTTTACGTGTGAGCATCAACTTTATGTTGAGTGTCTTCATCTATCTGCTGGGAAATTTTGGCCCTGGGGTTGGCCCTGTCAGGCAGGGTCGAAGAAGCCTGACTCTTAGAATTAGATGATCTGAATTGTGTCAATGAGGACATGTAACATAATTTGCGGCTGTTGTTACTGAAACAGTAGAATCTGCTTGAACTGAACATGGTTTATCTGAAAATAGCCGTATGCTCAAAGACAATGTGATTTCCGAATTATTTTTTTTCTCCATGAGTAACCTCTCCTAACTGAAAACCTGGTTAAACCAAAGAAAATACCTTTGTCTTGTAGATTTTTGGTTTAAGTTTAAGCGGACTCTACTGTGTAATTTAAAAAGAAAATCTTTTCGGCATTAGTAAAACAGGAGACAATCATTGCTGACTGTTAAGCCAAGAAGCATTATTTCAGGCTAATTCCTGCTTCTTTTAGCAGGAACAAGTAGGTCTGCTGTGGGTTGAAAAGGGTTATTAACTCATTTTTTGATAAAGAATGTATACTGAATACAGTTGACAGTTAGTAAAAAATGGTAAACACTGTTATTATCAGTGTTACATTTTGTGTGTAGCTGTCGGGATAAGCAGATGATCAGCTAGACTGTTGGTGGGGGATCTGACTTACAGGTTTATAACATATTTGATGCTTTTTTCTTTTCCAGATCAGAGAAATTTGGGCATGTCCATGAAAATCGAGAGGTCTTCTTTGGATCAAGTAAAAGCACGCTTTGAAATGAATAAAAAGAAAAAGGAGGAAAAGAAAAAGGATTATGACTTTGAGGAGCGCGTTAAGGAATTGCAGGAAGAGGTAACAATTTTTTTCATGTGCAGCTAGCTTGTTGTTGTTTTCTTCTGATTACGATTTGTGCAACATGTCAGATGAGTCTCTTATCGTATTTTGATCAAACATGTAATGTATATATATATATAACAACACTGGATATTAAATTATCAACCTGTTTAAACCCGACAAGTGGTTAAAAACAGTATATTGCTCTAGCTGCTTTTGTTACATAGTTATTCACATTGGAAATAGGGGACTTACCACCACTGACAGTTCAAGAAATAGAGATCTGGCCCGATGTCTCAAACAAGATGTGGATGGTTGGCAGGTGCTCTTGTGTAGTTTGCTCCTTCCTTTATATCTGTTGTCCTTATTTTGCCTCTTTCTTTTTTATGTATGTTACTCTGTTGTAACACCTCTAATTTTTGGCACTTTTGTGACCTAATTGTATTGCGAGTGTTATAAAACTCTTCTTAAAAAATCAAATAGATGAGTGTGACAAGGGACTGTCTGATTGATAGATCTAGAAGTAGATCTAGATCTAGATGTTTTATCCTGAAATTGTGAGAGATCTAAAAATATGTTGAGCGCTGCTTTTCATTTTGCATATATGTGTTAAGCTGAAATGCGCTTTGTTTCGGGAAAACACACCATTGTCAGATTAACTTCACAATATCAGTAGATATCATACTATTATATGTGTGTACTTATGTGTAAATAAAGGTTGTATTATGCATCCCTTGCATTGGCAATGCTGTGTAACAGAAAGAGGTGAAATGTTGTACACTTTCCATGGCTGTTATATTATGGTTGGAGGGAAGAAATGTCACTAAAAAAAAGATGTTGACATGGGTTGAAGCTTGACACAAGGCAACTTACCTGTATAGATAATGTGTGTAGAATATTAGGACAAAGTTGCATTTTTCTGTGTTTAGAGAAGTTCTTGCATTTTTGTTTTCGTAAAGAAGTGCTCCTTGTATCGTTTCTCCTTTCAGGAAGAAAAACAGAAGGCATACAAGAAGGAAAAGAGAAAGGAAAGAAAACGCAAAGCAGAAGATTCCGATGACGGGGGCGACCCAGACATGTCGGCCATCATGGGGTTCTCAGGGTTTGGTACATCGAAGAAAAAGTGAGACTGGAGTCGACGGATGAACTGATGAACTGAGTGAATGTGTGTGTACGTCTGTCTGTCTGTCTGTCTGGGAGGAAGAGAGAGTGTTAATGGGTTAGTCAGTCATCAGATCTGATGGATTTTATTTTTTTTTGTCTACCTTCTGCTTGAGAATTTAGGCCTACAGGATTTGGATTTGAGACTTCTTCTTCAATGGTAGGCTACTTAGTGCTGCAGTAATATATATTGAGGCAAGCAGAATAAGTAATTAGTGTTCCTAGAGGTGTGTCAAAATGTACTATTTTTTTGGGAGGGGGGGGGAAGAGGGTTTAATACGTTTTTGTCAAGGGATGAGAGAGATATGATTTTGACCTTTTTTGTTTTAGGATTTCAAAGTTTTTAACTTGCTTTTGGTGGGGGTGTTTAACATTTTTGCTAAGATCACCTGAATATTGATTATATTTGTAGCAGAATTGCTTTTGCAATTATTGTAGATGAGGGTCACTGAATATCAAAAGAATTTTATGAACAGCTGCCCATCCTTAGTGTTTATGTGTGTGTACATTGCGTGTGTGTTGACAGGAACTTCAAGTCATGATTGTTGAGAGTTGAAAGAATGTTGGTTTTTATTTTCTGAACATGGAATATTATAGATGTGAGAAACGAGAGTGAATTAGGGGGTTTGTATACCTGTGACGAAAATGAAACTGAAATGCGTTTTGGATGTTCTATGAACATATGAGAAAGAAATAAAACAGCTGTTTGTGTAGTGCCTGGATTGCTTTTGCGTGCTGATTCTGATTATTATAATTATAAAATAGAAAATGTCTCCAACATCCTTTTGAAATTTTCATTGGGAGAATTTTGTCCTCGAATCTACTTTTTTTGTAAATGTATGTTTCAGGTGAACAAGTTTTACTTCAAAATTTCAGAATTGCTGATTCTAGTATAGATGTGGGTGTATTTTCTCAGTTTCCTAATGTCTAAATAAAACTTTGTATAAAAAATTTGGTGGGAAAATGTTTTCCTTCAAGTTCAAGATTTGTTGGTGTGTAATTCATCCCATATATATATGTTTTCCAGTTTTGCCACTGCTGCCTGTCTCAATCATTTTAAAAGAAAAGAAATATGGAGAACCAAAATACTCAGTGTTCTTTCTTCTCTTTGATTTTTCTGACATGTATCATGAACCATGAGTTTGACTTTTCTAAACCGATGTTTTCCAATGTCGGTTCAACTTTTATTACCCCAATGCTTTTGAATCAAATCATGTAGTGGTAAGATTTATGAGTTATTTTCAAGAATAAAAGTGCACACATATGAATACTACTGAACACAAAGGTGTATTTCTTTGTATTAAATGATTTGGATGCTTTAAAAGTTTGGGCCAGAACTACAAAGAAAAATAAATGTGGGTTGACTACTGTGTACAAAAAATATAATTAGTATGATGTAAAAGAAATAAATTCAGGGCCTGAAAATCTGCTGGCTATGGGCATGCTAGATTATAGCTGCAGTGGTAGCTCCAGAATGGAACAGTCACATATTTTGTAGAATGCACTGCAGAGTTTGGTAAAAATGTGAGCTCAAGACTGTTTGGGTAGGACTTGGATATTTTACAGCTATTTTTCAATGCTCTTTTCCTCACACTTATATACAACAGTGTATTTTGGAGGCTGTAACCTCAATTTCAATTCTTTCTCCAATGGGACTGAGGCAAAGGGCCAAAGAGGCAGCCATAAGAACTCTCCAGAAAGTAAAAAATACATATTTGGGAATTTGAAACGGGGTAACATGCATAGCAGTCTTGCATTATAAATAGTAATATTATCTTTAATAGAACTTATAACATGCCCAATGGTATTGGGTTTTTTTTCCGGAATGTGCTTGGTTTTGTTGGCTCATCGTCACGACATGTATTGGTGTCTATGGTGTTGCGGTTAGGCACTCTTCCGTGTAATGCACAAGACATACGTGAGGCATGCTGACAAAATGAGTTACTTCTAGCAATCGAAGAATGGAGATATTGGCCAAAGATCGACTCTGGAGTCAGATTTCTTGATTTTCAAAAGATGCTATTTTGTTCAAGGGTGACCTTATTTAGGCCACATATGGCCTAAATAAGCTAAACCCCCCTCCCTTACCTTATTTGGGCCACAGGTGGCCTAAATAAGCTAAACCCCCCTCCTTTACCTTATTTAGGCCACACCTGTGGCCTGAATAAGCTAAACCCCCCTCCCTTACCTTATTTAGGCCACACCTGTGGCCTAAATAAGCTAAACCCCCCTCCCTTACCTTATTTAGGCCACACATGTAGTCAAAATAACCAAACCAATGTAAAGCATTGTTTTCTTTACAAGTTACATTATTATCTCTTTAAAACTCTTCACATCCATTTTCCTTCACAGCCGTATCGTACATGACATGTGATGTAGAATCAATTTAAGGTCCTTGGAAAGGTGACCAGAAAATAACAAAATTATTTTATGATCTTCACTTGCACTTGCAATTTTTTGAACAAATTAAAGCCTACCTAATTATATTTTTTCCCCTCATTTGTCTTTACTATAAATGACAACTGGCATGTATTGTTTTCAGTTATTATCAAGAAAGTGGATAGGCGGACTACGGGGTCTATTTAGCCAAAAGGATAGGTGGACCCCGGGGTCTACCTAACAAAATGTTAGGTTTTAGGATGTGAACCCCGGAGTCAGCGTAGTGAAATAAGTAGATCTAGGTTTAACTAAGGATCGGTGGACCCCGGGGTCAACATAATGAAATAAGTAGATCTAAGTTTATTTTATGATAGGACTGGCGGAGCCCGTGGTCAAAGTAGTGAAATTATAAGTAGATAGGTTTAATTAAGGATTGGAGGACCACGGGGTCAATGTAGTGAAATCAGTAGATCTAGGTTTAATTAAGGATTGGTGGACCCTGGGGTCAATGTAGTGAAATAAGTACATGTAGATCTAGGTTTAATTTTAAGGATTGGTGGACCCTGGAGTCAACGTAGTGAAATAGGTAGGTTTAAGGTGAACCCCAGGGTCTACCTAACGAAACACTAGTTAGGTTTTAGAATAGGTGGATCCTGCGGTCACCGTAGTAAAATAAGTAGGTTTAATCAAGGTGTCCCGGGGGTCCACCAATCCTTAATTAAACTTTCTTAATCCTCTATGGCCTTGGTGACTCCGGGTTCCACCAATTTTTAAAGAAACCTACTTATTTCACTGCGGTGACCCCAGGGTCCACCTGTCCTAAAACCTAGTACCAATCCTTACTTAAACCAAACCTTATTTCACTACGGTGACTACGGGGTCCACATCCTAAAACCTAGTATTTCGCTATGCAGACCCTGGAGTCCACCTATCCTCTACAGGACTATACTATTATTATCAATTTGCAATTTTCATTGATTATTAGCATTTTTGTTTAAATATAATATTGAATCAGAGTGCAGGGGAGACCGAGGCGCCCGGTCGATTCGGTGGTCGGCTTTTGTAGATCTATGCATTTTTTACGGAAAGCCGTATTACCTAACCCTATTACTAGATCTATTAGTGTTGTGAAAACTTCAACCTCTACAGCTCAGGCATCAAAAGATGCTGGTAAATAATAATAGATCTACGTCCTGAAGTTTCATAATTTATTTTTATACAGAATAACACAGTACACAGTCAGTAGTTTTTCTTTCATCGAGTTATAAAAATGGCCTTCGTATAAAAATTGCCTTGTTTTCAGAAGCAAGTTTTAATAGTTCTAGTTCTACCTAATCGATTTTCATGCGAATTCAACCATTTTGATGATCTTTCTTTTCCTTTTAAAAAGATGTAAATCTAGGCCTGTCGGATGTGGCAGTGCGAATAGCACTGAGTTGTTTAGATCTAGATCTAGATCTAGACCCATCAAAACACGAGGCTTCGTGGCTGATCACAAAAGTCTACGGGGCTTATCGAGGCCGATTCGCCCTGCCGCGAGCACGTTCACTAAACTGCCTACTAGATAGAATCTACTACCAAATATTCTCTACACGATCTTTGCTACTACTACTACTAGGCCTACTAGCCTACATGTACTACTACGAGACAGTACGAGAGAGTGTCACTCAGGCAAAGATAGTGTAATTTTGACTCAGCCACGTAGTATACACACTTTTTATACCCCAAATTTAACCCGAAAGTCCATTCGGAGGATTTGACCTTTTCACTTGACCAAAGTGTGCCAAAATGGTAGCCTAGCTTTTGCCCCTCCATGAAGGAAAAATCCGGCCCTCATTCAAACCATTGGAATTGAGCAAAATTTTGCGTTTTGTGCTTTGTTCTTTACAATATTCATTATGGTTATGATTTATAAGTTGTACACTGAGGCAAAACCATACTAAATGAGAAAGGTGCACCATTATGAAAGTGGAATGAACTCAGTTGTCTGAAAAGAGTAGTTTGAACATGTGTGGCCTAAATAAGCTAAACCCCCCTCCCTTACCTTATTTAGGCCACAGTCCACTGTGGCCTAAATAAGCTAAACCCCCCTCCCTTACCTTATTTAGGCCATATGTGGCCTAAATAAGCACTCCCTTTGTTCAATTCTATCATGTCTTTCATTATTCAATACTTACAAACTGTACAAACTCCACCTATAAAGTTGGTGTATTAATTTCCATATATGGCCAAAATCGAAGTAACTCATTTTCTCAGCGCACCTCACGTATGTTTGATTGCGATGTGGGGACAATTTTTATCAAGTATCTCTGTCTTTCTGCTTGGTTGTTGTAACCCTCTTGGTCTTGGTTGGCCCTGACAGTTGGGGTTGACGCTGGCCTCTTATGAAATGATCTTATGTCAATGAGGGCGTAAAACTCTGATTCAAAAAAAAAAAAATTATCAAAGTGCCTTGACGATGTATATTGTAATTTCAGAAACCCCCATTTTGGGCTAGAACAGTCTGATCACTTTCTAACACTTTTTAATTTTAGTTGCTTTACGGCACTTGCAAAACAATTAGAAAATGTAACTTGTAAGTGCCGAAGATTACATGGGTTGCAAAAGAGTAACGAACACAGAAGAAAAGAGGGAGAGATAAGAACGATAGATGTTTGATAGGAAAGAAGGAGCAAACCACACCCGACCACCCACCAACCGCAGCCCGTGACTCTTTGCAGAACAAAAATAATTACAATATGTGTCAGTAACAAGCTTTATTTTTCTTTTGTCACAAATAAATGTCACAACACAACTCAACGTAAATCGACCTCGGATGTAACAAATTTTTAAAAAATCCGTAAACAAAATGGAGAAAATGAACGTCTTCAGTACAAAATCAGTTGAAAAGAATGGACAAAGAAATAGGCTACATCATGTACATGTTTTGCCATGGATGAGTCCATGGAAATATATATGCACGATAGACAAATTAAATAATGAAAACGGACAGGGCAGGAAATATAACGTATGACACTAGATTTAGGAAAAAATGTCCTTGGCTTCTTGAAAGAGTGAATCAAAACTGCTGGGGTTTGAACCACGTGCACATGATGACAACCTGTAAAAGAGATTGTATAATTTAGTGTTTTAATTTGATAGTACACTGCACACCAGAATGGATAGCATTGCAAAGTCCTATCCTGGTTTGATTAACCTGTCCCCGTGGTTTTATGAAAAAGACAATTCTGAAATTATGCAATTCTTGGCCCAAAAATGGGAAATTATGCGATTCTATTAATTTCAACAAAGAATGATGAAGGACAAAAAATCAGAAATTATGCGAAAACTGATCAAATTTTGCTAAATAAACTAAATTATACGGGGTGCATAAAACCACGAGGGCAGATTAACTTGAACTAATGGTTTTGCATGCATAGCGTCTGTGGTGTAGCAGGTGGGCGCTTTGCCGTTGCACAGGGAAGACCCTGGTTCTAATAAATAAAAGATTTTTCAATTCTGCATGTTCTTTCCCAAACTTTTACATTTAAGAAAGCCTGGTGGCGTCGGTAGCCAAGTGGTTAGGCTACCGGATCCGTAATCGAGAGTTTGCAGGTTCGGAGGTTTGAGCCTCGGTTCAGACCGACGTTGTGTCCTGCTTGGGAAAGGCACTTTACTTTATATTTAGTATAATTTAGATATAATATCTACATGAATAAAATTTCCTATAGTATTTGGCTCGGGCCTTTCGGGGATGGACGTGCTAAGCCTGTACCATTTCACCACAAAAAAAAAAAGCGGACAGGCAGTAATATATTGTGTTCTATGAAATATACATATATGCACACAACTGTTTCTAATTTACGAAAGTATCGTTTGAAATGTGCCGTAACATTGCCTTTGGTCTGCTGCTGATCGGACAATACACCACATACATGTACATGTAATATTACTAATATATGTCTGTAAAGAGTTAACTGAAGTGTGTGCGCGCCCTGCATAGGGCTGGTCTTCCAGATTCGCCCCCATCCGCATAAAACTTACTACTGCACCAGTGATCAGTGTTAGGGCTATGCCTGCTTTTCACCAACCTTTCATGGACGGGGGGAGGGGGGAGCAACCATGGCATTGTACCACCTGCGAACCTGCGATGAAACCTAAAAAACCTATTCTCCAACCAAGTTCACCACATACACGTATGTACATTTTTTGTTGACACATACAATGTACATTATATAGCAGGCAAAAAAAATCGATGAGAATATATTATATCTTTGTGAGATTCTTCCCTTTTCAATGTAAGAGCAATCCCCCCGGGGCAGTGCCACTGACTGTCACTGTAGTGTCTTTAGGCCATTCCCAAAGGGGGAAAATTTCTCGTTCAAGCACAGTAGAATTGTAAATGGGCTGATTCATCATGTCACGCTCATAACTGCCTGATCTGCAACACCGAAGGGCTGCTTTTTCTTTCTTAATCCTTACTATTGTTATTTTTCTCTACTTCTTTTGTATGTTTGTCACTCTTGTGACCTGCTATTTCCGGGGTGCTTTGATGGTGGAAGCAGACCTTGTGCTGTTGAAGCAAGAGAGGTGAGCAGAGTAAGTCAGATTCCCTGTTGACACCCACCCTATACGTTTTTATACTATCTCTGACCGTCAAGCACCCACCCCTTGGCGCTCATATGACCTTATGCAGTTGCGAGCGCCGTAAAACCCTCTACTATAAAAAAAAAAAAATAATGTGAGAGCACACGTGGTTTGACTCCGGACACTTTTTAATTGTGACCATTCCACAATGACTACGACGAGAGTCGCCAGGGTTAATTTTACCTAGCAACGAAGTACATGTACCAAAAAAATAGTTTTTGATAGTACTACATAATGCGTAAAACTCATACCAAAACAAAACGAAAGCAATTTAGGCGAAGTCCACTGTAGTAGCCTACATGGTTGCTTTTAAGCACAAGGGAGCTATCCCGAAAAATGCTGTTTTGAGAAAATCGAAGGTAAAGTTTTTGGACCCTTGTTCAGTTTCTTTAAAAGACAAGGAGTAAGTAGAGAGATTTCTCTACAACCAAAAAAAATATACACACCTATGAAACCAAACTTCTCCTGTAGGTAGGGCAATGCCCACTTTTAGTGCAGGTCAAGATAAATCTGGAAACCCGCGAAATCTGGGTTAGCCCGCTTGTCCTTAAAAGCGACCACATGTACTGTAATTTGATAAGTCACCAAAAAAAATAAATGACAATACCTTCGTCCAGGAGTAACAGCTCGTGTTGCCCGTGGCTGGTCTTGAAACAGTTGACCAAGGTACTCTGGTTCGGGGCTGTGTTCTGCTGTCTGGAAAAGGTTCGTAAACATCATGTGTTAACCCTCCTATCCGTACGTTGCGTTTAACTATCCTATCCATGCGACGTGGGGTACTCTGTGCCCCCACTTTTCAAAGAGGAAATTTACTCGTTAATTAATCCGATCCGTACGCTTTGCATAGCAGTCTGTCAAAATGATTTTTTTGAGAAATACTGACATTTTCAAAGAGATCTTCGCCCTAGAATGATTTTCAAATGTGAAGAATACAACCCCGGGAGTACAAAATGACCCCAGGACGTACGGATAGGGTTAATAAACAGTTCTGTATTCTAATATATCAAGTATAAAATGATATAGCAATTTATCTTGTCATATAAAATGCACGTAGCCCTTCCTGTAATTCTTTGTAAAACTTAGGAGATTCCACTCCCTTTTTTTTCTTTCTCTCTACCTCC